TGTGCTGTTTGTTGTTAAGTGCCATCAAGTCAGTTCCAACCCATAGCGCCCTTGTATAGGGTTGCCAAGGAGTGACTGGTGAGCTTGAACCACCTGTAATTTCTTTCTTACATTCAAAAACTTACCACCTACCTTCTCAGCATTTCAGCTTAGAATACCTTTTAAAACTAAGATTCAATTCCACATTCTGACCTTTGTGCTTTTTTGTCAGTAGAGCCCTTATTCTACTAATTCTTTACATTCAGAAGTTGAAAATATCCTTCACTAGATTCACACATTTTCAACAGTCTTCACTGGAATTCTTTGTCCATTCTAATCCATTTTCCATACTGTCACCTAAGTAATCACTCAAACATAGGATCATGTTATAGAGTTTAGTGGGGTAAAACCCAATTCTTGAGTATTTTCTACAAAGCCTCCATGTTATGATGGGTACTTGTGCCTCCAGTTTCATCTCCTGCTGTATATTCCCTACACTCAACCACACTATACCACCACACTTACTTTGTCCTGAATTCTCTGCTCATTTATTCAGACATTTTCTAAAACCCCACTAAATACCAGACATTATGCTAGGCTCTAGGGCAATAAATATAAGGGGTAGTCTTCCTTAAGAAGGAAATAAATATGTAAGTAAATGTCATAATGTGATTCATGTGGCAAGAATACAAAGTGGTCTTTTTCTCATTAAGGCACTTAAGGTAAACAACACAGCAAATGACACTTGAGTCAAGTCTTGATGGATGAGTTGGAATTTTTTATATGGCCACAAAAACATATTCCAGGTAGAGTGCCACATGTACAAAGGCATGGAAATGTGAAATTGAACCCCTTAATAACTCAAAATGCCCAGACCACAAGATTAAAGGTGGCAATAAAAAAGATACAAAGATGGAAAGGTGAGGTCAGATGATGAAAGGACCTTCTATGTATCAAAAGATTGTGAAATTTTTCCTAGAATAGTGTAATCATAATTATTTAAGCAAGAATCATTGATGGATGCTAAAACTCATGTATAAAATTTTGAAGACAAATTATAGAAGACCAAACTTCGTCTCTCATACTTCGGACATACTGTCTGGAGGGACTGGTTGCTGGAGAAGGATATCATGTTTGGTAAAGTGGAGGGTCAGAGAAAAAGAGGAAGAACTCCAGCAAGATGGATTGGGCAATTGGCAGCATCAATGGGCTCAAGTGTGACAACAATTGTGAGGTTGGCCCAGGACCAGGCAGTGTTTTGTTCTGTTGTACATAGGGTTGCTATGAGTCGTTACTGACTCGATGGCACCTAACAACAACAACAATTCTTAAATAGCCCTCCACATGGTATTTATTAATTAAAATGAGAAAAATAGTAACAACAATGGACAAATCTGGTAGACACCTCCTTTACCGAATGATCAAAATTACAAGAGTGAGTCACAAATTATCTGCACTCGAGTTATATTAAAACACCCATCTATGTCCACGGCTGATGACAACATTGAGTGTGCACATAAAATAATTCTGTTGATTAGATGAGTGACAGTGGATTCTGTTGCAAATCTTCTGCAAATCAGCCAAGGCTCTGCCTATGAAATAATCCATGAGACATTTGGGTTTCAAAAAGTATGTGCAAGATGGGTACTGAAACAACTCACAGAAGATCATAAACAGAAGCATGTGGACATCTGCAAACAAAATTTGCACCGATACCCAAAGGAAGGTAAAAGTGTCTTTTAAAATATCATTACTGGTGACAAGACATGATTCATCAGTACAAGCCTGAGAGTAAATGGCGGAGTATGGAATAAAAACATCCTCACTCTCCGACCAAATATACTTCAGAAGTCAACCATCAGCTGGAAAACTGGTGCTTACAGTTTTCTTGGATTCTCAAGAGCCAGTACTGAACACTATCAGGAAAAAGGTTAAACAATCAACAGTGCTCATTACAGTGAGATGCTTACTGAAGACTGAACCCTAAATTTGGGATTAAACACAGTAGACTGCTATCCAAGGGTATTGTGATCTTGCATGATAAAGCACATCCACACACCTCTGAGAACACTGTTGACACTCTGCAAAAACTTCATTTTGAGGTATTAAAGTATACTTCCTATGGGCCTGATCTTGTTCCATAGGACTTTCATTTGATTGGTCTCCTGAAAGCAGCCCTTAGAGGATGAAAATTCATCTTATGAAGAGGTGAAGACAGTGGTACATCATGGCTTGCAGCTCAGACTAAAACATTTTTTAGTAAGGGAATATGAAAGCTTGTTGACATATGAACAAAGTATATTGAAAAGCATGGAGATTATGTCAAGAAATTATTTATTTGTCTTTTTAAAAAGTTGATTAAAGTAAATTCTACAGCCAGAGCGCAGATAATTTTTGACTCACCCTTTTAATATCAGTGTAATGGGACAAATCAACAACATGAGACTCCCCACATCACAGCATCACTCCTGTGATATCCTACCAAAATGCATAACCTGAATCTAATCATAAAAAAATACAGATTAGTCTACAAAATTACCGGTCTGTATTCTTTGAAATCTCAATATCAAAAAAAGATGAAAAAAGAGACTAAATACACACCACATCTGTATGCAGTTCATAATCCTAGATGTATTTAGTCAGTCAGTTATAAATGACATTTTGCGATAATTGACAAAATCTGAAGGAAATCTTTCATTAAATGATAACTGTTGGTAAGTGCCATCAAGTCCGTTCTGACTCATAGTAACTCTTTATAGGGTTCCAAAGGATATACTGGTGGGTTTCAACCACCAACCCTGCAGCTAGCAATCCAGTGTTAGCCTGAAGGACCCTAGATAATATTATTTATCAATATTTAATTTTCTGATGTTTGTATATATACTGGTTACATAAGAGAGTTTGCATTACTAAGGAAGTATACACTAAGGTATTTAGGGATTAAGGCCATCACATATGCCCACGATTTATTCTCAAATGTTTTTGAAAATCATATCTATAGAAGAGGAATAAAATAAAAGTGGTAAAATACATTTAAGTAATCTGGGAGAAGAGTATATTGAAATTCATATTATTACTGTAACTTTTCTGTAAATCTAAAATAATATCAGCACACCTAAAATAAAACCATTTTCTTCTAAATTAATATAGGTAATAATGGAGGTAAAAAGACCAATTATAATCATCTACTGTGGTAATAGAGAAAAGGGATGCAGCAGCGAAAGATACAAGTGGTAGAATTTAAAGACTGGTAGGATAATATATTACATTCTTCCATCACTTCTAGCTTTTGGTAGATGATGAAACTAGTAACCAAACACAATAGATATGCTTAGATATGGACAGCCTTCTATATCTGCCTGAGCACTCACCCTCTTAACTTCCCTTTATCTTTTATAACTTGGCTCAAATGTGACATCCTTTCAGAAGTCCTCCCTTACTCTGCACCATTTTCTCCCTCCCTGGACTGAATTAGTCATTGTGTCTTCCTAGATTTTGACATAGTATCATTTGCATTTATACCATAATGTATCAAAATAGATGATTTATTTTTCCCAAGCACAGACCTCCTTGAGAGCTGAAACAGTGGTTTTTGTGTTGCTAAGTGTCATCAAGTCGGTTCAGATTTATAGCAACTCTGTATAAGGTTTCCAAGGAATGACTGGTGGATTTGAACCACCAGCCTTGTGGTTAGCAGTCCAGTGCTTATCCTGCAGTGCTACTGCAAGACTCCAGAAACAGTGGTAGTATTTATGAATTCATGGCACCTTTCATAGTACATGGCATATAGGAGGTGTTCATCAAATGTTTAACAGAAACCAGTGAGTTATCAAGTGCCTGTACTATTTTTTTTAAGCTTTTATTATGAATTGAGTGATAGTTTACATGACAGAATGTCAGTTTTGCACTCAACCAATCGTATTTTGTTTCATTGCAATGATTACAATCCCTTCCATGCACCATCAGTTAAAGTACTTGCCTCTCTTCCCTCCTTTTTTTCCTTTTTTTTTTAATGTACACAAAAACATGCAGGAATATATCATCATTCAAAGTAGCCAAAGGGCGTATTTTGAAAGTCGGACTCCTGCCCACCATTACACAGCCTTTCCTTAGAGCGGTCATCTGCTCTATCTCTCCATGCCATTAACCTCTGTCTCCGTCTTTGTCTGTACTGTTTTTTATCCTAATGTTTTGGACGTGCCTCTTTCTTTCTAGGCCTTAAAGTCTCATACCCTGTTCAAATAGTTTTGTGACCATTATTTTTGCTTCTAATCTTTTGTTCTTCTGTAGTAGCCTGTGCATGGATACTAGATAACAAAACTTTAGTATTATGGAATGCCTGTGTATAAGCCATCAATACTATCCCAGTATCTAAAGATTAAGTCCAAATTCAGCAGTAAGGACTTGAGGCCTTGAAACTTTTAGTGTGGTGTAAACTCTCCAAATATACCATGTTTATGTCAGATCTTACTTGTCTGCTTGCCTAACTTTGTTCATTAAGTATTTGAGTACTTATTCAAGACATTTTAAAGGAAATTTATTAAGTATGATATATGCTCATTATCTGTGTATTCAGTTTTAGAGCCCACGTTTTCCTACTACTTAATTTCATCATAATGGAAAATCATCTTTGGGGCGCACTCATCCAGGCTCATATTTAAGTAAATACTTTCATTTAGGACAAAATGAGTAATATAATGCAGCTTAGAACAGTGTCTGACTCATAGTAAAGCCTCAGTAAATGTCTAAATTGAATTAATACTATTTTAATTTTTAATGGTAGAAATCAAAATTTAAGATTATAACAAAAAGAATTTTGAATTTGTTTTTAAGCTCTTGGAACCTTGTTTTTTTTTTTTTTTTCTTTATATAGTTCAATTGTTAACTTTACTTGCTTGTTAACTGGAACTTTACTTGCAATTATTTGTAGTTCTACAATGCCCATTTTGAAGCAAAGTCAAGATAAATTTAAGAATATATTACACATGTTTTCAAAACTTTCTTTTATACTCTCTTTATAGGTTATATGTAAAGTCAGATGTGCCACTGAACTTGACAAACACAAGTAAGTTTCACAAGTAGCAAGATGTAGAAATTTTTCACAGTGGACATCTAAAAATAGAGAGGAATGATAGGTTAGAGATCCTTAACAATTTTGTTTAAAAAATCATATAGATTGAATCAAAGAAAGTGTGTTGAGTAAGCCACAGTTCAGTTCTGCTTCTTAGTCATGCTACGGCCAAATACCACTTGTTTTTCTGCTCTGCTTCTCCCTTGCTTCATAGGACCTACAATTGCTAAGTTAGACTATGCTATTTGTGGACAGAATGTATACTATGTTGTTAAGTGCCCTCAAGTTTGTTCTGACCTATCACAACCCTGAATAGGATTTCCAAGGAGCGGCTGATGAGCTTGAACCACCAGCCTTGAGGTTCACACGAACACTGCAGTCCAATGCACTAACCCACAGTGCCACACCAGGACTCCGAATGTATAGTATAGTCCCAGAAAATAAGTAATTTTTCAGTACTAATTAACCTCTAAAATGAGACTGCTGAGCTGGGGAGTCAGGAGACTTGATTTTCAGACTCAAATCCCATATTAAGTAGCTTGTTGCTTTTGCAGCTCATTGACCCTCCCTTGGCTTTGATTGTCTAAAAGTACTCTAGTTCCTGGAAATTTTCGATAATTTTAAGATCCTTTTCAGACATCAAACTATGTAATTATTGGTTTCACTATTTAGACCTATAGGCTATTAAGATCTAAACTTTTCAAACTAAATCATTCTGCTTTGCCTGTTCATTTAACAAAGTTTGTTAGTAACAGATTATTTAGTTATTTTTACCTTAAGCTTCTTGTGTGAACTGTTTCCAAACGCAGATAGTTCTTTATGATTCACACTATTGAAAGTGATTCCAAATAGAAGATATTACAAAGTCAAGTAAATTTCTGGACTGTATGTATTTAATTTGGTTATGAAAATATTTGAGCTGGCATTATTTCATACAGATAGCTATTACCACTACTTGATTAAAATACCACATCTTGCCTGAAGAGTTTTTATGAGGTGGTCTAATTTTCCTTCGGTCCTTGGTGGTACAAATGGTTAAGCACTTAACTTCTAACCAAAAATATTGAGGTTCAAATCTATCCCAAGTCACCTTGGAAGACAGGCCTAGGAATCTGCTTCTGAAAGGTCACAGTATTGAAAACCCTATGGAGCAGTTCTACTCTGCACACATGGGGTCAGCCTGATCTGGAAATAACTCAATGGCAAATAACAACAACAGTTTTCCTTACGTGAAATAGTTAAGCATGTCCTTTTCAGAGTTATTCTGTATGTATTATAAATATACAACTTTATAAAATGAGGAGCTTGAAACTCGGCATGCCTTGTTCCTATAGTTTTTAGTCAAGTATGAAGACAGTGTTTACTATAGATAATAAAAAACTCATAAAATTGGACATTGTTTCAACCATTTTCCTTAATTTTTAATATTAAATGATCAATTTAAATTTAGATAAAGTAAATTAATGTTTCAGGCAAATTATAAAAGCCTGGTAATTCTTAGGCTGAAAAGGTCAATAAAAACATGCTTAATATCCAAGGCACAATGATTGATCTCAATTTGCTCAGCACAACAGTGGAAAAATAGTCAGGAATAGGAAGAAGAAATGAGAAGAACTGTTTTTTTCCTTTTGCCATGAGACCAAAAGAGCTTGATGATGCTTAAGCTACACCATTACTGAGCATTTTGATAAAAAATTCTATAGACGATTCCTGATCAAAAGGGGAGAAAGCAGAACAGAATTTCAAATACTCATGAATCCATGAATCCGAGACTTTCAAGAGAATGGAGGCTAGAGGAAACCCTGAAACTATTATCCTGGGAAAATCCTTAAACCTTGAACAAAAAATTTCCTTTAAAACCAAACAATAGTTTAGCTTAACTGTAAAAAAAAAAAAAAAAAAAATCTTTCTTATATACACACGAAGGAACATTGAATAACATTAAAGATTAACAATGACTCTAAAAAAAAAAAAAAAAAAATCTTTCTTGAGAATTGCAATCTTTTAAAATATATATTATATAGGATCAAATTGACAACAGCAACTTGAAAGATTAGCTAGGAACCTTAGGGGGGGCAGTGGATGGAATGTTAATGGGGGAGGATTAATGCAGAAAAGGAAGGTGGGAATGAGTACACAACTCAGAAACTGTCGTCAGAGTCGCTGAATCATACATGTACAAACTTAAATTGCTATGTGTTTTGCTATGTCTTAGCAACAAAAAAATAAACACATTTTTTCATTTTTTACATGTGAAAGTATTTATTGTTAAAAAAATAGATATATATATATTTGTTGTTGTTGCTAAGTGCCATCAAGTCGGTTCCAACTTACAATGACCCTTATAGAGTTCCCAAGGAGTGGCTCATAGGTTTGTAGCGCCACACCAGGACTTCTAAAAATATTTAATAGGTTTAAAAATATAATGTATAAAAATTGCTTGAAATAGTATTAAGTGGTCCTATGTTATTCTTCCTAGCAAAAACAACATAATTTAAGTCCATATGAGATTACTTCTGAACTAATGTCATTTTAAAAATAATTGATACTAATTTCATAACAGCAAAGAAAGTCCAAATAACTCTGAATCATTGAATTTGCATTTAATGAAATTATAAATAATGTAGATGGAAGGAATTGCATCGTAAATATCAAACTGTTGAATTGGTGTATGTTTTGCTTCTTACAGTCACAACAATAAAACACTTTTTTACATTTTAAAATAGCTAATAGGTATAAAAATGAAAGATTCAACATTGCTTGAAATGGGGTTAAGTAGTCTTAGTTATTCTTCCTAGTAAAAACAGCTGAATTCAAACCCACATGAGATTATTTCTGAACTAATACCATTTTTAAAATAGTTTGGATATTAATTTTATAATATTAGAGATAGTCCAAGTAACTCTAAATCATTATTGAATTTGTATTTAATAAAACTATAAATATTGCAGACTGGAGGAATTAGATCTAAAATAAGAAATTCAAATTTTGATTTAATTGACCATTAGTTTTGAAAACATCTAACAAATTTATATTTTTCCTTTCAGAATTCTACTGCATTTGGGCTTTATATTGGCAAGCCTTCTCTTTTTAGTGGTGAACTTGACTTGTGCAATGCTAGTCCATGGAGATGTTCCAGAAAATCAGTTGAAATGGACTGTGTTTGTTCGAGCACTCATTAACGATAGCCTGTTTATTCTTTGTGCCATCTCTTTAGTTAGTTATATATGCAAAGTTACAAAAATGTCATCAGCAAATGTCTACCTCGAATCAAAGGTAAGTATTTTTCTTAAATTTGCACTCTTCCCACTCAACCTGCACTTCTCTATATCACTTTAATTTTGTTATTGTAATAATTCTCCTTTTGGATTCAGACTCAAATTTGGAGTATTCTGATTTTTCTTCTTTCCTGATACCAACTTCTGTGAACTTTCTCATGTAAAGTTTTTCCTTATTCATTGTTTTCTCCATTTGAACAACTTGACAAAAAAAAGAGTAACTTAATGAACATAATTTTCTGTATCTGCCATGTACCAGGTACTGTTATAGCTGTTTTTCACACTACCACACAATAATTCCATGAGGTGGTCTGTGCCAGTCTTTAAAAAAAATAATAATTCCAGTAGGCAGAGACATTGTGACCTTATACAAGGGGACTTTATAAGTTTATGGAAAATTTGAATTAGATGATAATGAAATGTTCCACAAACATTTTGAATCCCCTCATATAATCTAATCCTTGTCTATTCTAACTTCATCTCCTGCTTCTCACCTCTTTACTCTTCCAACCACATGAATTTTTCTTTTCCATTTTCTTATGGTAAAACATCATACCAAATTTATTCCAGTTATATAGCCTTTGTAAATGTTCTTTCCTATGCCTTGTTGCACTTTCTGTAGCTGTTCATATTGATGGCTTTTTTGTATTCAGGTCTCAGTTTGTATGTAATTTTTTCAAAGCTGCCTGCTTTAACAATCCAAGTATGGCTATCCCCCAATTCCAGTTACCATGTTTATCACCCTCTTTGAATTGCATGTCTCAGTAGCCATAATTGGTTATTTGGGTGTACATTTACTTTCTCCTTCTCCCTCATAAAATAGTTCCTTTGTCTATCTTGTTCATGCTTCTATCCCCTTAGTCTAAAATAATACCTGGCATATATAGAAGGTGTCAAATAAATATCTTTCCATGCTAGCAATACATTCTTTGCTAGAGCCACTTTAGTCTAGTAGCCAAATGAGTATCTAACAACTGGGTTGTGTCAAAAGTAAATTGAATCCCTAAACATGCCCAACTTCACGTAGTTGAACCAGGATTCTGATCACAGGTCTGATCACAGCTCTCTGCTAGTGTCTACTATTATTTATAATTACACATTGATTTCATTTACGTGATCCTATTTTTAACCATTTAGGATATACATTTTAGTTGTAATATGGGTATACATATTTGTATGCTTATTCATGGCATTATTTCAAATATTTTCTTACTAAGTTTTTGCCATGATATTCTCCAAAAGAATAAACTATAATAAATGTATTTGTTTCCTCTACTCCACCCATATTTGAATTCAAGTTTTGTTTCTTTTGGTTATTTTAATTCATGAGCCTTAAACCTTTTAATTTAAATTTATTTAACTGATATAGATTTCCATGTAGATATTTACTATCCACATTTCTATAGGTATAAACTACTTCTCAACAATTTCTAGAACAGAATCTGGGTATTTATATATTTAGCATATTTTTGTTTATAAAATATATGACCTTGGTTGAAAAAAACCAGCATTCATAACTTATGTGTGTTTAGTTAAGAATTTTAATCTTATTAAATATTTCTTAGCAACTATTGATATTGCTATAATTTTGGGTTTTCTATGTATTCTACAAAGACAGTAAGTTATTTGACTTGATTTCCTAGGGTTCTTGGGATAGATCCTATTATGTCATTTCTTTAATGTTTTTGGTCTTGATTGCTATAATTTTACTTAAAATTCTGTTAAGCCTAGAAATTAGTCAATCTTTTTTTTTTTTTGGTGTCCTTTTCCCTTACCAGGTTTAGAATATAAACATATTTATCTTACAAACTGGATGTCTAACTATAAGCAGTACAAAGTAGTCAGAACACAACCTGTAGAGTGAGGTTGTCTACATTTAACTCAGAGCTCTGCCATTTACTGGCTGTACAGCTTTGATACTTTAGCTTCTCTGTCTATCTTTAAACTAGAGATAAGTATAGTGACTGTCTCTATAGTAGTGCTGCAAGATAGAATGATCATGTATGGAAAGCAATAGCATGCTGCCTTACTCTAAAAAAAAATTAATGTTAGTTTGACATAGTTTGTACAATAGACATGTTCTGACTTAGAAATCTTAAATTAATTTTGCTATTATCCCCTAGGCAGAAAGCTGTTCTTTGATAAATTTTCCTGCTTTGTTTTGGTTTTCCCTATGATTTGCCTGTTCATATACTTCTTTTATTCTAATCATATAATTTTAATGCATTCTTATAATTTTAAAGGCAGTTATCTATATTAACTTTATTATAAAACTATTTTTTATTATTTCAAAGGTAACTTGGTAATTTGAAAGAATGTGATTTAGTATTTTTTTAAATAATATCAGCAATGACATCTAACTGTATTTGGAACTTAATGTAAATATAACTTTACACCCAGCTTTCTCCTTTATACTGTTGTCAGGTCCCCCATCAAGATGATTCTGACTCATATAACAAACCTATATACAACAGAATGAAACACTGCCCTGTACATCATTTTCACAATAATCGCTCTGTTTAAGCACATTGATGCAACTACTATGTCAATCCATCTCACTGAGACGACATCCTTTTTTCTGACCCTCCACTTTACCAAGCGTGATATTCTTCTGAAGGAACTTAACTCTCCTGATAACGTGTCTAAAGTACCAAGTCTCACCATCCTAGCTTCTAACAAGCTTTCTGGCTGTATTTCCTCCAAGTCAGATTTTTTCATTCTTCTGGAAGTCAGTGTATATTAAGTATCCTTCATCAGTATCATAATTCAAAGGCATCAATTTTTCTTCAGTCTTCCTCATTCATTACCCAGTTTTCACATGCATATGAGGCAATTGAAAATACCATGGCTTGAGTCAGACACACCTTAGTCCTCAAAGTGACATCTTTGCTTTTTAACATTTTACAGTGTTTTCCTGAATTCTTCCTAAGTTTTTTTTGTGTTCTCCTTGCTTTCCTAGATCTTTTATCCATCCTTTGAAGGTACCTAATTATCATTCTTTTGAATTCCTTTTCAGTTAATTCCATTACCTTTTCTTCCTCAGAAACGTTTTCTAGCTCTGCAGCTTGGTCACTTGTTTGAGCCATTCTCTCTTGTTTCTGTGTGTAAGCTAAAATTGCCTGTTGTCTCCAGGACATTGTGGGCTTTTTGTATTTGTAAAAACATGCAGTGCAGTTGTTGGACCCAGGGGGCAGAAATCTCTGGGGGACTCCTGCAACTCAAGAGCTCATGAGGTAGTTGTGAAAGATATGTGACAGCAGAGTTCCCAGCCCTAGTGGAGTTCCTCATTGTTATCTATGTTCAGGGCACTTAGTCCAGTCCAGAAGTAGTTCGTGGGAGCCCTTGATGGAGCTGGTTTCAGTGTCTAGTAGGATCACAGGGAAGCTGAGGACAGCATGACTGATTAAATGCTGGTTTAGTAGCTCTTTGGGTTTTGTAGGTCTGTAGTCAAGCCTACCTGAATCCAGGCACCAAAATAGCACACCAAAGTGGTACAGCCAGCCCTCTTCTCACACTGACTGGGTTCTGAACCAAGTGACTCTGAACACCCAGATATCTACACTGGGGGTAGATGAGGGTATGTGCTGGCCACACTTTCGTCACCATAGGGCATGGAGAAAAAGAAGAAATGCACCTTTCTATCACCTCCATGCATCTGCTCTGCCAGGTCTGCCAAAACTGCTCACAGGATGATCAAGCCAGGTCTGGTCAGTTGTTTACCAGTCAGTCTCCATCTCTCACTGTCCCTCCCAGGTCTCTCCTCCCAACAAACACTCCATCCACCTCATTGCTATTTCTTCTGAAGTGCAGGTTTCCAGAATTTTCATCAATATCTGTTTTATTGGGTATCGCATAGCTTTGTTGTGGAGGGTCCGTGTAGTGCTTCTGCCTAGTCAGCCAACTTGCCAGAAGTTCCTTCTTTATAATACTTTTTAAAAGTCTGTTACAACAGATTTTCCCAATGCAATACATTGTTTTATTTTTTGACTGCTGGTTCCAAAGGTGTTGGTTGTAGAGCCAAGTAAAATGCAGTGCTTTGCAACTTCTATGTTTTCTCTGTCATGTTGTTTCATATTGGTCCAGTTGTGACGATTTTTAAATTCTTTATGATGAGGTGTAATCCATACTGAAGGCTGTAACTTTTTATCTTCATCATAAGTGCTTCAAGTCCTCTTCACTTTGAGCAAGCTCGGTTGTGTCATTTATGTATGTTGTTTCTGTTAAGTACCATCGGGTCGGTTCCAACTTACAGTGATCCTGTATAGGGTGTCTGAGGATCTTTTTTTTTTTTTTTTTAATCTTTGTGGGAGCAGAAAGTCTTATCTTTCTCCCATAGGGCAGCTGGTGGGCTTGAACTTCCAAGCTTGTTGTTCACAGTCCAATGCTTATTGTATGCTTATCCACCATACTCCCCCATCTGCATATTGTAGGAATTATATCATGCTATGAAAAGCTCTTAAGTCTGTATATTATCCCATCATATAAATATATGCAAAAATTTAATTCTTGCCTTACTGAATGACCTTTAGTGACTTTTTAAAACAATCTCAGCCTCTGTATAGTTTATTTTCTTCAAAATTATTTTGGTAAACAGAGTTGGGGATTTTATTATTTACATATAGACTTGTATATCCCAGTCTTAGTTCACATAACACGTAAGTATCTTTTCTTTTTTTATTAATCTCTTTCATTGTTTACTTTTAAATTTACTTTTTCTTTTTTTTAAGCAACTGGAACAGCCCTCATTTGGTTCTCTTTCTAAGTAACAACAACTACTTTTCCTATATTTTTGTTGTTGTTAAAGTGCCATCAAGTCTGACTCATAGCGACCCTGTATAGGGTTTCCAAGGAGCTGTTGATGGGTTTGAACCACCAACCTCTAGTTAGCAGTCCAGTGCTTATTCTATCACCCTACACTAGGATTCTTTTTCTATATTGGATGTTGTCAATTAGAATAATTTATTTCTGATCTTTTATTTTCAACCTTCTTATACCTTT